TCAGTTCCAAAGAAGTATGACAGAAGCAAGATTGCTGCATGAAGAAAAACAGGGGGAAGGGAAGAGAGTAGAAAGAAGGTCAAACCACAGAAACGTAATTAGGCAAAATCCAATGAGAATGAAGTAACTAGTCCCTGAAGCATCCTGAGTGAGGAGCCAGGACTGGGTGAGACTCAGTCATCCATCTAAACCAATGCCTGGTCTCTGAGAGCAGCTACAGTCAGTAATACTGGGCAGACCATTGCTCTGAAGGCAACAGAAACAGCTGTCTAGGTCCACCTCCACAAAAGCCAGACTTCTCATTTTACACAACCAGAACTTGGGACTATACCCAGAGGCTAAAAAGAAGGGGAAAAATATAAACAAAAGCTTTTTAGAACCAAATGTTTATACAAGTGTGAAGTTTTCTATTACTTCCTCCATCTCTGGAAACAGAGGACCTTATTTCCAGGGCTTGATAGCAATTGGAAGTGTATGTGTCTCCCATCCTAAAAGGTCAGATTTCTTAATTTAAACTCCCAAAACAAAGACTCACTCTAAGCAGTATCATGTATATCTAGAATCCATCTATAGAAACTAATGCTCTCACATTTTCTTGAGCTCTCCCCCAGTTTGTTAAGGAATTCAAAATCATTAGATATAAGAGTAATTTAAAGTTTTATGTGAAGCCTGAAAATTACTGCTTGGTGCTGGCTCTTGGTATCTTGGGATAAACTGAAAAGAATTCAGAGTACAATAAAACGAGTGGATGCTACATACAGGAAGATAGGGAAAGCAAACTAAGGTATGTGGTATATGTAGTATCACTAGTGATGGCATGAATACAAGGGTGTCATGCCTTGAAGAAGATGAATTAGTTAGGGTTACTCAGCACAATCAAGGAAGTGAATATTTAAATATCAGGAAAACCGATCAAATCCATTTCACAGAGTATATAACTGAATACAAGGCAAGTCAGTAGAGGCAGTCGGCATTTTTCCTTCTAAAGATGAAGCTGCCTTTGATCCCCAAGCCAAGAGCTGATACATACTGCCTTTTCCATAGTCAGCAGCAATCCTGCCTGTGTCCAGCGATCCCAGATAAGGCATGCCTCACACTGAAGATCTTAACTGAACTTAATTTCAGCAGAAAAAACAACTAAAAGCACCAAGCTCTCCCACACACCACTGAAGGAAGGTATTCCCCAACTCCACACTCTTTTCCTGTGGGTGATAGCTAGAAACCCAGTGAGCAATCAAAGTCTCAGATTATTTTTACAAGGCAATCTCCAAAGACTAATGAAATTTCATAACCAGAAGGTATGCTTAACAAAGAGGATGAACTGCAGCTTGAGTTCAGTTGGAAAGTCCTGTGGGAGACAGTTTCCAAAGAGAAAAGAGCAGTCTTCATGTGCAGTTTACATCTCCTTTCTGTATCCTGCAAGAAGCATCCCGTAGTTTGAGATCAGTCCTGCTGCCTACCACACTGCAGCCAGGATCTGGCTTTGATGCTGTCCACACCAGAATGCTTTACACTCAGACAAAACCACAGGCACAGCAGAGCAAGGAGCTACAGGGAAAGTATAGAGTGATGCTTCTATCACCCTGACTACTTACTACAATAAGCAGTACTGAAAAAAGAGTTATAGTCCCTTTACCCATGCTATAAGCCCATCCCTAGCCTCCACAACCTTTACCAAGCAATGCTAACGTTAGACAGAGATTGGCAAAGGATTAAATCTAGGAGTTCTTTAAAATGAAATTACACGCTTTGACTGTAGGCCTAGCTGAGGCCAATTTGCACACCTGCATGATTTAAGACACCCAGCTCTGCATTTTGAGGATTAATAATTTGAAGTTTGCAGAGGCATCATATATTTGCCCAAGTGAAAAAGTATTATCCCACTTTTTATGTCAGTGAAAATTCTTCTTGCAAAGTTCTCCGTTACCTTAAGGTTTAAACCAATTTAGTGGGAGAAGCATAGACGAGAATCTCAGGACATGCCTACTGCAAACACAAAATTCCAACTGGATTTTCATAGGCTAGATCTGTGTACATGCATATCTGATCCAAAGTTGCCACACTTCACTTGAATTTAAACAAAACTATCACACTGAGAAATCACTATCTGGTGGCCATTGCACTAGGAGAGAGAAAAACTCTAAAATCTCAGTTCTCTAAATGCAGAGATTTCAGGGGCAGCACTGGAACCCCTGCATATAGAAACCAGTGTCAGCACAAGATTAATACCACAGGAAAAACCCTATCTCCAAGCAGAAAACAAGTAATGCTAATTTATTTTATCCTAATCTATATAAAGTAAACAAGTGCATTTATTATAAAACAAGATAACTTGTTTGAGTAGTAAGGCAAGCTAATCTGTCTTTCACTTGTTGGCAATCACGCTGTGCTTTCTGACCTTTGCCTGCAGAAAGCCAAACTTGTTTCCTACCTCTGAAATGTTCTTGCTGTTAATAACTATGTAATTTGCAACACAGATCTAGGTCCCTGTCCAAGGGCCAGAGGAAAACAGGTTGCTGTGGACTTGACCTCTCATGATAGTGATGAAAGAAAACATAAAACCAAAATTCCCAGAAAAGACTCAATTACCAACAAATTCCATCAGCTCCTCTCTCATAGCAAAGGAAATCAATTCTGCTTTTCTACAGTTTTAAGCTTTTTCTTTGGTGACTGTTTTATGTCCTCTCTGACTCTGTGAAACAAAGGTATGTTCCTCATAATGAGGAGGAAAGGGCATAAAATACCTGCTGTGTAAATCTGCATCAGCATTGTATTAGTAACACAGGCGCATACACCAACATAAAGAGATGACATACATTTTCCCTACTTTTTACACACATCATTTAAACTATGCAGCACCAGACTAGTTAACCTTGAACAAGAAGGAAGAAAAGCATATTGGTGGCAGAATACTGACAGAAATACTGTTCTGGATGACCTGTTGAACCCTCTTGCTTCCCTTAATCCCTGAAAGGAGGCTTTCCTGGCTCTCTCTCCCCAGCTCTGTGCTACTGCTATGATAAATGCCACATTCCAGCAGGATTTATTTTTTTGCATCATCACATAAATTTATAACTTAATGGCTTCAGGGCAGGAAGTCTTCATTTAATGCCAAAAGAAAGCACTTGTAAGCATAGTTAGCTTGCAGAACAGCAAATTTACTGTTCTCAAACTCACAACAGGCCTTCTACAACCTAAGAAAAAGGCATGGAGTGACCTCTATCACCATGCTTACTAGCAGAGTTAAGTTTAAGCAAAGAAATCAGAAAGATGCTTCAATCCTTTATTGCAGATTTTCTCTCAACAGCAAAAACTCATCTATTTTTTTCAGCTGGGGCAAATCTCAGTCATCCAAAGAAAAGAGATTCCTGTAGTCTGCATTTACTTCTTCATGAAGGTTGAAAATGATTATCAATGTGGCTAGCAAAAAACCCCAATTTAATTTTGATGAAACTGGTATATTTCTGAGTCTTCAGCATACCATCAAAACAGAAGACAAGTCCAGCTGATCCTATAACACATGCACACTCAGGCACAAATGCTACAGTGCCAAATGCCAGTCAGTCATCTACTCGTTCCCACACATAGGTCTCACGGCACGAAAGCAAGTGCAAGGGTTCCAAATACACCCTGGCATCTAAGCAATGCAAAGAAAGCCAAACACATAAATCTTTACATGACTGAAACACGGACTTTTGTATTACCAGGAAAGGACTAATAAGACTGCCCCAGTTCTGCAGTCCAAATAGAAAAGCCAAGCATGACTGCTCCTACTGCCACATACTCCATAATTCAAGAGGATTCACAAATAATTAAAAAAAAATAAATCCATGCCATACCTGACAATTTTTTATTCCTCCCTCAGAATACCTATTTCCTAAAGGGGAAAAAGCTGCAGCAATCTTCCAGCACACCAATAAATCCAGCCTCATGCACCACTTCCCCCCCATCCCCCTACCACATGAATTCATCACTTGCTTGTGCTTCAGCTTTTTCTTTGTTTAATTTTGATTTCCTACACTTTCCCAACTAAGCAGAGAGGTGCAGCTGTTCCAGACTCTGAAAAAAATTCAGGCAGGAAGGCAGTCCTCCTGCCTACACTCACAAGCAAAACTTGCACCTGGCAATGTCAAGGTCGTGGTTATTTTTCTGTGACCATCAAGTTTCCAAACTGTTTCAACAAACCACAGAGAGGTTTGCACCAGGCACGACCCCCATTCCCACACCTCAAATTACAAACCACCCGATTCCAACACATGCAGCGGTGGATACCCACAGGAACACAGGTGGCACGGCACAGACCCTGCCCATCGCCACAGCGTTTCTGACCCCACCACTGATAACCTCTGCTGAGCAAACCCTGTCCACACATGGCTGCTTCCAGTCTGCTACAAAAGCCAAGACTCCCATGGCATGGAAATACCCCCAAAATTAAATTCTGGGCCTAACACTAGCAGGACAGGACAGTCTTTTTTTTTTCTTTTTTTTTTTTTCTTCTTCTTTTTTTCTTTTGCATGCATGCATTTTCATCCAGATCCCCTAAGTGTAATTTACTGGCAACACCTTTCCCTCTCAGATCTGGGATTGCCCCCAAGTCCCTAAAGCGACTCAATAAAAGCAGTGAAAGTTTCACGGAGGTGTACAGAAAAGGTAAATTCGCTGGTGAGTATGATCTGATGTATCCAAAATAACCCCAAAGCCCAACCCAGAACCCCAGGGAGGGCAAGGGATTCTCCGGAGGAGTGCTGGCACCCACAAGTGGGTTAAACGCCTCCTCCAGCGCTGGATGGTGACAATGTGGCAGCGCAGCTGGAAAATCAGGGTGAGCCGGGGCTGATCCCCTGCACGGCGGGGTCAGCACTGATCCAGACTGAGCGAGTACACATATATTATAGATATGGATATTTATATTTACACAAATATATCTAAAGAAGATGAGGGCACCCGCCTCGCTAGGGAAGCCCGCCCCGCGCACGGGCTGAGGACTGGCAGCAACTCACCACTCAGGTAGTTGGTCCACTTGTACAGCACCCCCTCCATGGCAGCCGGCCCCCGCCCCCTTTTTCTACTGAGGATCACGTGACTTGCGATTCCTAGAGCTGTTTGCGCTGCCGTAGCGCTGCGAGGCCGTTCTTTGGGTGCGAGGTAGCGGCGCATTTTGCGCTAGGAGCGTGGCAGCGGTGGGCAGGTTCGGCGGTTGGGGC